ACAAGGTATTAACGTTTTGTGTATTTAATTGCAGGTGCCTCCAACATAATGATTACGCAGCCTGGCTATCCCGAGCAAAACTTCATAGTGCTGAGCGATGACAGGCAGAAGAACCTGCTCAATGGTGAGATGGTGAAGACGTATCCCTTGAATTTTGTCTATGCAGGGGTAACGATGCAGTACAGCGGCTCCAGCAGCCCGGTGGAGCAGGTGAACACGACCTACTCATGGAAGCTGTCGCGTGATCTAATAGTTCAGGTAGTCCCTTAAAGTGAGCCTGGACATGGACAATTGATGGCATAGGTATTCTTTGGCAGATCATCTCCCTAGACGTGAGTTCCGCTGTGCGACAAGATGCCGTACTCATGTCCTACTCCTACACCATCGACAAGCCACCGACTCTGGAGGCAGAGGTGGAGATCTACCGCTGGGAAATGCAGGCGCCCACCAACTGCGATTCGCTCTGCGAGGGCAGGAGCCATCGGCAGCCGGCCTGCATCAGCACCACCCAGGGTCTGAAGGTGGCCCCTCAGTTCTGCGATAAGTCCGCCATGCCCAAGGTCGAGGAGCGAGCCTGCAACACGGAGTGCCGCCTCAAGTAAGTATTATATCATTAAGTTTATGCTTAGAAAATGTTATACCAATTGTTCTATTAGTCTCACTGTCACGAGCATTTCGGAGTGCTCCGCCGCCTGTGGAGAATTGGGGACCCGCGAGAAGACCTTCAACTGCATTCAGACATTCCCGAATATGCAGCGTTCGAATATTGTGGACATGTCCTATTGCAAGCTGAAGTTTGACGTGGCTCACCATGAGGAGTGTCGGGAGGGCTGCTGGATGCTATCGGAGTGGTCATCGGTAGGTTGAGATATTCCAGTCATCTGGGCAACGATCTTAAATGCTTCCATCCATTGCAGTGCTCCAAGTCTTGTGGCACTGGGTCACGGCAACGTGAGGCCCACTGCTATCTGCACAACTCGCGAGTCAGCGACGATCTTTGTAACCCCCGGACCAAGCCTCAATTAAGTTCTCTCATCGATTTCTGCAACACCAAGCCCTGCCCTACGTACACCGAATCTCCTGTAAGTCACTTGGACTATCCATAGACCATTTACTTTACTATATATCTATACCTTTTACCTGCAACCTTTAGAACGCCATAGCACTTAGTAGCTGGGTGACTGGAGAGTGGGGCGAGTGCAATGAGTGGTGCGAGAAGAGTCGCTCCGTGAGCTGTGCCAATCCCTACGGAACCGGTTGCGAAAGCAGGAAGCCCAAGGACGTGCGCAAGTGCTGCCACATCAAGTACACTAGCGAATGGACCCAGGTAAGCCCTAAATACATTCAAAAGGAAATGCGATATTGACTTATTGTTAACAACAGTGTTCGGTGCAATGTGGCGAGGGCCAAAAGTGGAAAAAGCAGCGCTGCACGCGAGTCTACAAGCCAGAAGTTCCGGGAACGCCCAAGCGTCGGGTGTACATCGATGAGTCCTACTGCGTGAGCCGCAACATACGGCGGCCCAAGCTGCGCACCACCACGAAAACCTGCCGTATTAACTGCAAGTGGAACGCCTCGGACTGGTCGCGGTGTCCTGCCGACTGCTCGGAGGACTACCAGACGCGCTACGTGCGCTGCGAGTCCTGGCAGGGCGACAGTGTGGAGGAGGGCCACTGCGACGCCAAGAAGCGCCCTTCGAAACGCCGCATCTGCAGCAACTGCATGCGCCGCCAGTCAAAGGTCATCTCTCAGGTGAGTGGATCACTAAGTCTTTAACTGAACCCAGTAAGGCTACTATAAGAAAAAACGAAATATCTTTAAAACTACATGACAATTTTTATTTGGAATTATCTATAATTCAAATTTATCTAAAAAAAAATGGTCAATATATTTTGTTGTCGACCGACCTTAAAATATTTAAATATGAACATTTCTTTATTATGAAAGGCATTTAATTATGAAGGGTAGTATTTTATGTATTTATATAATTATTAACCATTTTTAATGCAATATTAAGTTATTACACCATGAAGAAAAACCAAATTATCTATAATTCATTGTCTAAGAAAGATTGGCTACGGCTATCAACTGTATCACTTTTCACAGAACTTGTTTTTAAATGGGATATTGATTATTCGGGAATGCCAAAGAACTTGGTTTTTATTGTTAAAGTGTTACATACTTTCAGACACCTTTATAAAAACTTAGTGATTGTCTATATTTTCTTTGTTATTAAAAATCCCTATTTCCGTAATTTCAGTGCAACTGCGATGGGGTAGAGAAGAGGCGGGACATCTGCTACAACTCGCACAAGGTTCGCATCGCTTGCCCAACGCGATCCAAGGTGGAAAGACACCGCTGCACTCCGCCGCCGCAATGTCGGAGGAGGAGCGCCATCGGGAGCAGCATCAGCAGCAGGCCCAGTAATACCAACAGTATCAGGAGCAGCAGCAGCAGCAGCAGCAGCAGCAGCTCCAACAGCAGAAGTTTGAATGCCATCAGCGGTCTAAGGAGTCAGGGGAGACCCAGGAGCTGTGCGGACCTGCAGAGGATGCACGGCTTCAACCAGGACGGCAACTACCAGCTGGAGGTGCGGTCGCGGATCGTGCGCGTCTATTGCCACCAGATGAACAGGGCGGGACCACGCGAGTACCTGAACGTGGATCCGCAGGAGAACTACTCCATCTACTACGAGTACAGGACGAAGCAGACCAACAGTTGTCCGCCGGAGTCGCGGGACCACGAGTACTACAACGACCAGAACTCCGGCCGGTCGCACTTCAGCAAGCTGCGACTGAACATCACCGATCTGCGGATCCTGGACAACGACTTTGAGTTCGCCGAGACGCGGGGTCAGCCGCAGAAGCTGGGCTCGGCGGGCGACTGCTACAACCGCAATGGTCAGTGTCCGCAGGGCGACTTCTCCATTAACCTCAAAAGCACGGACTTCACCATCCGCCCGGGCACCGTGTGGACAAAGCATGGCCGATATTCGGTCATGAAGCGTGTCAGTGAGGTAGGTTGACAACATAAATAACATTCAATCATATTGTATTTTTTCAAATAAACCATTTTTCTTTACCAATCTGCTCCTTTTCTAGTTTGATAAACCCTCGGCGATGCGAAGAGGCTTCTGCGGTGGATACTGTGGGGGCTGCTATATAGCGCCTGATTCGGGCCTGTACCTGGACGTATTATGACGGGAGCCACTGACCTTCCCACGGTAATCGGGTCTACGTCCCGGGAAGGACCAAGGGTTAGCCTCAGCATCGTCATGTTCGAGGGTTAGCCCAGCCAAGTATTACCAACCAGAATACAGTCCCCGAGGCTCCGACAACTGAGCGCAGCACCAGAACCACTGACGATGGTTAAAAGTATTCTCGAATATTAGTTAGGATATGTATACCTTAGGAATCGTGTCGAAGTAGCCCGAACAAAACCGAAATTTGTGTACATATAATTTTATTTCACCCGAAATTAGAACCTAGTTATAATTGCCATGTAATGTATTAAGCATTGTAAATACCAGAGGACTTAAGAGCCTTTAAAGTAGCAAATAAGTGTAATTGACCAAAATACAATCCATAAGTCGGACGGTAGCCGTTAGGTAATTAAGGCCGCTCAGTTAAACCCGTATTTATGCTAACGATATACAGTGATGGGAAGTTCCAAGGTGCTCGTTAACCTATACTATGAACATTTTTCTTGACAAAGGAATGCATTTTTAATGAATTGTGTAGATTTCAATATTGATTCGGCTTGCTTTTTGCCGATTTTAAAATATACGAGTGCTAGGTTAACATATATTTACACTTCCCGTTTACCCATACCCTATTCTATATTCCTTTTAATCCAGCAATTTGTATTCTTTCGAGAAACAAACGAAAGTGGTACATTTTCCATCACTGAAGATTTCCGAAAACTAAGAGCTCGACTAAACTAGTGCAATGCCGGTCTGTACAATAATTGTATTAGCTAAGCTTTGCAATTAATTAGTTAAGAGAACGATTCGGAGATATTGTATGTGTAACTAAAACAAATACTCATATTATTTAGGACACCCCGACCGCACAAGCCAAAACCAAACTATTCATCTAATTAACACTGCTGAAGGAACATTTTCGATTTATAACAGTCACTGCCAGACTCTTAATGTTCAATCCACCATATACCTAATCCCTAATAGCCTAAGTCCCGGTACCAAGTATCCTCGCTGTATTTTCATTTAACTAGCTAGGCTAATGCAAAACCAATGTTAACAATTTATTTAATGTCAACTAAAGAATTTTTAAAGCTGTTACCAACCAATCGTCGTTCGTACACTGGGAAGCGGGTAATAGAAAAATGTATTTATTTAAAGTATTTAATATTTTTAATGGAAGATATATTTGGCTTTCAATTCACTGACTAGGGTTAAAAGCTCCGCATATACATTTTGTAATGTGTCCTCTGTTGTTAGTCGACATGGGGGCACAGCCGCGACTCTTACAAATAGTTGTTCAAAGTAAAAATCCTCTGTGCCATGAAGGCCATGAAGCTTCGATGGCTGTGAATTTGAATCTGAATCTGAAGCTGAAGCTGAGTTGGATGATAATTGTTGTGCGATGGGTTCGCTGCTTTTGTCTATCACTGTGCGAGCCGTGGTTGTTGAGAAGCTCGATGGGTTGTTGCTGTTGGTCGCTGCTGGTTGTTGCCTTTGAAGAGCTTTCGCAACGGGCGAAAGACTTAAAAGCACTTGCGGTGGACGATGCCGGGGCCGGACTCGTCGTACTCCTGCTTCGAGATCCACATCTGCTGGAAGGTGGACAGCGAGGCCAGGATGGAGCCACCGATCCAGACGGAGTACTTCCTCTCGGGTGGCGCAATGATCTTGATCTTAATGGTCGAAGGGGCCAGGGCAGTGATCTCCTTCTGCATACGATCAGCAATACCTGGAGGGTTGGAAAACCAAACAAAAAATAGGGCTTAGAACGGATTTCTCAAATGACTAGATTTACAAACTAACCAGGGTACATGGTGGTACCGCCGGACAGCACAGAGTTGGCGTACAGGTCCTTGCGGATGTCGACGTCGCACTTCATGATTGAGTTGTAGACGGTCTCGTGGATGCCGCAGGACTCCATGCCCAGGAACGAGGGCTGGAAGAGGGCCTCGGGGCAGCGGAAACGCTCGTTGCCGATGGTGATCACCTGGCCGTCGGGCAGCTCGTACGACTTCTCCAGCGAGGTGGAGGCGGCGGCGGTGGCCATCTCCTGCTCGAAGTCCAGGGCCACGTAGCACAGCTTCTCCTTGATGTCGCGCACAATCTCACGCTCGGCGGTGGTGGTGAAGGAGTAGCCGCGCTCCGTGAGGATCTTCATCAGGTAGTCGGTCAGATCGCGACCGGCCAGATCCAGACGCAGGATGGCGTGGGGCAGGGCGAAGCCCTCGTAGATGGGTACGGTGTGGGAGACACCGTCGCCGGAGTCCAGCACGATGCCGGTGGTACGGCCGGAGGCGTACAGCGAGAGCACAGCCTGGATGGCCACGTACATGGCCGGCGAGTTGAAGGTCTCGAACATGATCTGGGTCATCTTCTCGCGATTCGCCTTGGGGTTCAGGGGCGCCTCGGTCAATAATACTGGATGCTCCTCGGGGGCCACGCGCAGCTCGTTGTAGAAGGTGTGATGCCAGATCTTCTCCATGTCGTCCCAGTTGGTGATGATGCCGTGCTCGATGGGGTACTTCAGGGTGAGGATACCGCGCTTGCTCTGGGCCTCGTCACCCACGTACGAGTCCTTCTGACCCATGCCCACCATCACGCCCTGGTGGCGTGGGCGGCCCACAATTGAGGGGAAGACAGCGCGGGGGGCGTCATCACCGGCGAAGCCGGCTTTGCACATGCCCGATCCGTTGTCGATAACTAATGCACCCGCATCATCGTCACACATCTTGGCAGTTGATTATCTGCAAGGAATAGTGTGGGGCACTCTGTCAGTTTATTCTACTCATCGGTTGGAAAGCTTCAAAAGCCCTAGCCCCTAAAAAATGCACATTCTGATATAAATTTGTTTGTATCCCTTTAGAACAAAAACCATGCTATGATATAATGGAAAAACAAACCAATTTGTGCATCACAAAAAGTTCCTGATCACAAAATATAAAATAACTTTCAATTGATTTATTTTGCTTAAGTTTATTTTCTTTTAACTTTTTAGAATAAATCTAAATTATTTTTTTGAACTATTTAAATTGAAAATCAAAAATTTATATAAATTTTAAGGTATAATTAATTTCTCAGTTACCAAATGTAAGTTCCGTTTACTGTTGTCTCGTGTTATTGAATTATTTACTTGATCTTAAACGATCTAAAAATATCTCAAATGTTCAGTTCAGAGAACTCAAATAAAACCGACCAAATTAACCAGATATTCATTAAGATTCGATTACTCCTCACTTTAAAAATAGAAATTGAACTTTAGGAATGGAGTGAATTATAGCTAAATCCATTGACACAATAAATATAGTCCAAAATATTGAAGAAGTATGTTGATATCCTTTGGCTTTATGGTTTCGGTGATAATCCTTAATTTCCTCGACATTGGGGTCGCACACACACACACACCTTTTAGGTCAACGAAAGGAGGTAATTTGGATAAGCTCGCACGTTCGAGTCTTGTTGACGGCTAGACTCAACAACAAATGGCACGCCGTGCGGTCTGTCCTGCCTTTATATCAGGGCTCTCGTCGAAGCGAGTTGAGTTGGATGCCTGGGCGACACTCAGAGAAAGAGATGAGCGAAAAAGTGCGAAGCAATCAACTCGAATCGATCCATATAAGCAGTTTTCTTTCTTCTAGTTAGGTATGACAGAAGTTCGCCTGCAAATGCACACGAATGCGACACAATAATGCGCTGCACCTATTAAATTTTCTTAATTAATTATACAAATGAACCCAAAGGCAACAGTAATCCTAATTTCAAAAATAGAAAATAATGAAATGGTCTTATATATATATATATCAATTAATATTAACCAAATTATGTCAATTTTTATCTACAAAGTTTAATTCACTTAATCGAAAAATATAAATATTTTTAAAGTTATATGAAAATCGGGACTTGTAGTACCTTTTCAAAAATGCACTCCTAACATAATCTTTAATTACTCAATAAAATTGAAAAACCAAATAATACCAATTTTTGATATGCAAATACAAATTTACTTAAACAAAAAATATAAATATGTTTAAAGTTAAATGCTGATGACTATAAAAATGTATAAAGTGAGTCCAATTGGTACTTTATGTACCTTTACAAAAAATACAATAACTCCTTAATTTTCATTTTAATATCAATACATTTTTGACCATGTTTTTTATACAGATGCATTAAAATAATCATAACCACTATTTTAGCCCTGCAATCATAGCAAAAATAAGCAATAGTTCTTAGGACACTCCCGAGTCATTGTAGGGAGTGTCCCGAGAGAAAGCTCGGGAAAGATAAGAGAACGGTATGTACGAGTGATTAGCAGATGTGCGTGACAGTCGGAGAATCGACCATCCCAGCGGCAATCAGTGCTCTCGAGTGGGCAATTAGTCCCCGTTCCCAGCCCCGATCCTCCTGCCAACCCACAGCCTCATTCGCCGCACAGAGAGATCAGAAAATAGAAACGGACCTTAGAAGGACCGACGCAAGACAATTGGCATCCGCGACAGGGACTGGGAGGATGAGGATGGGGATGGGTATGGGTATGGGACATCTCAACGGGCACGCAGCGAGGCAAAACCGAAATAGACGAGCCAAGCAGAGCGGCACCTATAAATCAACATCAAGGTTGATCGAGATCTCCGCGCGCGGCGCTTGAGGAAGCTGCATTTGCAATTAAATTGGCGGCGCCGATGCAGCCACGAAGTTTCGAAATCACCGTGCCGACCATTTATCAGAGCAATTAACCATAGCCAGCCATTCCAACGTAAAATGCATGTCGCTCGGTATTTTTGTTTTTCTCAGTTGAATTGTATTTATCCTTTTATGTAGATTTGATTACTTTTTAGTTCTTTCTATTTTTATTTTTATTGCTTGGCTGCATGTATAATCGAATGCAGTTTAGCTAAAAATAATCTCTGATAGTTCGGAAGTGAATAAGTGGCATTCCCAAAGTTTTTATTCTGTAATTCATTTGGTTGTCATCGTTTGTTGAGCTAGAGGCTAGTGGATATGCGAAAATGGTGGGCATTTAAGTTATTACCTTTCTATTTTTCAATTAATGTTTACATCACTTAGGTCAGTTTTCTGAACTGTATTTTTGCTTACTCGAAAATGGTTTCTTACTTTCGGACTTTTAAACTTTATAGCCAAGATATTGATTGATTTAAATTAAATTTATATAGGTCAATATTTTCGTTTTTTGTTAAGTTTTTATATAGACTCTGTCATTAGCTTACGGAAAACTAGCTCAGAATACCGAACAAAGGATTTCTAAAACTTTTTTGGAACAATATAAATATGTAACACATCCCGATTCCTAACAGTTTTCTTTGCAAATCCATTTTTGACAACATTTCATTAAACCCATTTATTTTTGGTTATAAAATCGCTTTTTGTAAGTGAAAAGATCAGAAAAACTACATGGGAAAGACAATGTTTTTACGACTCAAAGATTATGAAGATTTTTCCCAAGCTTTTGCAAAATTTTTGCTGACAACACTTAAAAAAAAAAATAAGATTTCTTTTCTGACAAGAATAGATTTATTGTTTTAAAAAACGGTCAAAAACTTTAGTTTATATAGTGTTTGAGTTTATTGTCTTTAAAGGACTTCCAATAGAGAACATGAACAATTTTTATGAGATACATGTCTTTCACCAATGATTTTATTCAGAAAGGTATTTTATTTTGTTGCTACGAACATAACAAATGTTTTAAGTTTTACTGATAGTCGAGACAAAAACCAAAGCAAATAAAAAGAAAGCACACTTTTCGGCGTCTAAAAAGTTAGTTCCTCAACTGGCCAAACTGATTATAAAGGTGGCGACACAAAGTAACACAAAATGTCTTATATTTTGATGATTTATAAAAGTGTATTCTTTAGATTTGCTAGATAGAAAGGTAATTTACGTTTGGGCCTATAACTTCTTTAGTCAAATAAACTATTGAAATACTTTCAGCTCGGGCCCCCAAAAGCTCGACAGAACCCGTTTCCTGCTGGCACCAAGTCGGTGAAAGAGCGCAAAGCGAAAGCCAAGCGAAAGAAACGTGCTCCCCGGCCAAAACGAAAGACTTAAGACCCGAACCTGAGGCAGCGGGAGCGGCAGAAGTAGAAGCAGAAAAGAATAAGAAAAGCAAAACCAAGCCGAGCTCGAAAAAGAAAGTGCAAGTGGACGCGGATGCTTAAGTATTCCGTCAGCGGAGTGGGGTTTATTTTGTTACTTCGTCTTACACTTTTTGTTCTTCGCGCCTGTGTGTTGGTTTCACGGGCATATCGCACCGCTGGAGACTGAGACCAAGACCAAGACCGAGACCCAGACCCACAGCCACTATACCAATACCACTATACCACCACAGTCACCACAATCACCGTCACCAGCACAAAAGCAAAGTTTTAAAATAAAAAACCTGAGCCACGAGCGTGTTGGCGGTGACGACGCCGACTGAGGCTGCGACTGCGCAGCGACCGCGCTGCTTGACCCACTTTTGAGCACATACAATCAGAATGTTTCATGTTTCGATTTTATTATTTTATTTTCTGTTTCTCCTTTCGTGTATCTTTTCGATTTGCTGGTCAGCCACTATAGTACACTACTATAGTATAGGTGTGTGAGTGAAGTTACTTTTTCTTTTCTTGCGGCTTTGCTGCTCTCATTGTTCATGCTGCTGTCCGTCGTAGGCCTATGCGAGATACGTGTGTACATACGAGAACCATTTATTTCGTGGCATGACTTTCGAAAAATTGTTTTATATTTACTCCTCGCCTGTTGCTGTGCGGGGGGAAAATCCACCACAGATATTACTTTCAGATTTTTAACTTCTTACTCATTAAAGAGGGTAACGGAAAATCAAACTGGATTGATAATTTCAGGAACGCACCATCTGCTTAGCGACGGAAATCGGATTTTCGACTGCATGTTGATGTTGCTTCTGATGTTGCTGTTGCTTTAGCTGTTGCTTCTGGTGTTGCTGCTGTTGCTGCTGCTGCTGCTGCTGCGTTGCTGCCGGCAGCATGACATAAACTTTCGATTGTCTGCCCGTCACATAACTGTTACTCGTCTTGTGCCTCGGTTTCCCCACATTTCCATTTCCATCTTCTCGTTCTTTGGGCCATTTCTTCTTTCTACCACAGCAATTTGGTCTTTGGGCTTAAATGGGTAATTGGGTCAGGCCCCGCTGGCCGCTTTCTGGAAAAACTTTTCAGACTCATTTCACTTAAGATTCTTTGGCTTATATTTGTAGAAGGTCTCCGGACTCACGGGCTGTTAGTCATGCGGCAGCTGGGTCTTGTTCTTTACGAGACTTTATGAAATTCAGAAATCTCTTCTCTCCTCCGACTTTTTACAACTTTCGTGGCTTATTCTTTTTGTGACTGGGCGCTTAATGCGTTTGGCATCGTTTTCGGCTTCTTCGCTGGTTCTGCCTCGCCCTCTGCAAAGTTTCTTCTTCGTGCCTTCTTGTTAATAATTTTATGTTAATTATTAAAAAGTGAAAATACGATTTTGGCTTTTGGGGTCTCGGCTTTTGGCTGCATTAATCATTTGGCCGCGATACATCTTGGCTCGTTTCCTTTGCCCCAGCAGTGCAAACGGTTCTGGCCCGGCCGAGATTTATATAACGAACCGGCCGTCCCATTAAATCTATTAGCTCCCCATTTGACGAAGCTCATCGTTTGGCAATAAAATGCGTTTTCGTTTTCAGCAGAAACAAAATATTCCGTTGCTCATTAGCATGTAAATAAAAATTCGGGCCTATCTGTTGGTCGAAAGTCGTTGGATTGTGACACAAGATTGAGCACTGCATGACTAAACGGCCCTCGGACGGGTTCTGCATCCCTGCTCCGTGGGCCAAACTTGCAATGGAGAGATGATTTACATCTCTATAACAACGAGTCTATATGCAACAGTCGGTGGCTTTATCAGCCAACTTTCACCCAGCTGGGCGAGGGTAAAAGAATCGATCAATCGGCAACGGTGTGAGCTGACATGCATAGAACTCAGCTTTTACAACTTTACAACATTGAAATTCTCGCCGACAATTTATCAAGCTTGGGAAAATCTCGGAAGAAAGAAAACGCTGACAAACTGCGAGTAAATAGTGGCCTACTACAGGGCAATTCAATCCGAGTACAATGGGCTGGGGGGATTTCTGCTACTGCAGACATCTTCTACATTAGAAAGTTTTCTACAACTACCAGGAAAGCATCGGGCGTAAGACAAAAGAAACAGTTGTAAGTGCAGAGAGCCCGAGCCCCCTGAAAGCCAAGCCACCCAAAAGCCCTAGCAAGATACTCCAAATGGAGCCTGCCGAAGGCACAGCTTGCAACGCTTACTGCGCACGGCTTAGAGACCAGTGGAGGTACCAGCCACAATGCAACAAGAAATGCAGCGGTGAAAGATTTCCAAATGCAAGCAGCCACGATGGTCCAAGTTAATTTCTACCCGGCTCGTTGGGTGCTGCTCTCCACATTATTTCTGCGCAGGCAATTAAACTATAATTAAGAATCTAATGGAGTTTCACTCTCCTTGTGCGTAATTAGCCATGCGGTTTATGCAAAGAAAAGTAAAAACGTTGGCAATGGAGACAATGGATAAGCAGGCGGAATAAGATTGCCAGCCAAAACGTAGGCCAAAAATGTGCGACAAGAAGAAAAAAGTTTAAATTATATAATTAAACAAAAATCTTGACAAAAATAGACGAAAGTCGTCATTTGCAGCGGCGGAGAGGGAAAAGCTGAGCACTGTAAACTGAAAACCAAAAACCGAAAACCCGAAGCAGGCTCAGAAGCAGCAGCGATGAAAGTTAAAGTTATAAAAGCAGTTTGGGAACGCACTGGAATCGAAACGATGGTAAGCTGTAAATAATTAATCGTCGTCGTCGTCGTCGTCTGTGTGCGAGAGAAACAAGGCAAAGGCACCCAAGACGAAACTCTTACTCGGAGCACATGGCAAACAAACCGCGGACCAAAACAAAAGACTTCAACGAAGAACCAAACTTGAACGGGCCCCCGAGATGGTGTTAGTGCGCCGACACGTATACGTATACGTGTTGGGTGAGAGAAAGAAATGGTAAAAGCACTCCTGAGCCGAAGAACCAACGGCAGAGCTTCCACCTGGCGAATGTGTGAGTGTGTGAGTGCGGCAAGCGAAAGCGTCGCTGCCGCCGAGAAACGAAATGGAATGGCATGAAATTTCTTAGCGATCTTTGAGGATAAGCGCTGGTTTCACTGCGCGCTGCCGCACAGACGTCTACCGCGTTTCGAGGCAGACGTTACGTTCCAACGTTCGGCGCGCAAGAATCGCCAGCCAGCCAGACCGTAGAAAGTCGCGCCTGCGCAGAAACTACTACTACTACTTCTGCTACTACCAAAAACAGATAGAAAGAAATACTTCTAAAAACAAGATCATAACAAAAGTGCGGAAAACAGAGTGCAGCGAGTATCCAGCCCACAGCATCATGCTGCCCAAGTGCAATCAAAATGTTTTCTCCTCTTGACTCTGCGGTTGGAATTTAAGTTTCTCCCCCTGCCGTTTACGAAGACCACGAATCCGTTTTTATTAACTGCCTTGTGTTCTCTGCATATCAAAACGCAAAAGTGAAAGTGAATTTTCGGTGTTTCGGTGCGTGAGTGCCTCTCTTGAATGACAAATATTGATATGGTACAATGAAAACCAGGCAATTTCAGCCAACCAAATAAGCGTCGAGAGAAACTATCTAAGAAATACATTTATTTTTGTGCCCATTGGATTACGGAAAGTTGGCGACCAGCAGTTCAAGGATACCCAGCGGGATCGGAATAAATCTAGGACACAGCGCTATTATCAACAAACTACTCTATTTGGATATGGCTGCCAACGAGATTATGACACCCACAGTCAATGCGAATTGTCAATACTCGACCAGATATTGTTGTAAGTTGGCTTGAACTTGGGGTACCCACTAACATAAAGACGAACTTTTTATAATACTATCGAAAGTTCGACTGTACTATATTCCAAACTATCTTATGAACAAAAGCTTCTTGTAACCCTTCTTCTTCTAAGCTTCATCTCCCACATTGTTTACTAACCCATCAAGTTCTATCAATTAGAGGAGACTAAACTCCAATCACCCACACACAAGGGGCTTGGGCTTTTGATCCCCCATTGAAGCGCAGAATGCCCAGCGAAAGCAACAAACAAACAAACCGTGTGCATTCGGGCAACCTGCGCAGCAAGAAAGAAATTTTCAAAACAAAAAGCAAAAGCTGCTTTTTATAGAAAGTTTCCCCAGGAAGGGGCCCCAAGTGGCTGGAGTTGCAGCCAGTTTGGAGTCGCCCAGCACTGTGCGGTGTCTTACCGTCGTCGAGCATCGACGGCGACTAGCAGTCGTTGTCGTTGCCGTTGCTTCTGCTTCTGCTTCTACAGTATCTGAGTATCTGTATCTTCCGACTGGCGATACATCTGTATCTCTGGCCGTCCCTGTCTTTTGGCCTGGCTTTAGCTTTGGCTTTGGCTTGGCAGCTCGCTTCTGTCGTTGCTACGACACGAATATTAATAGGTGAAAGTTGTTGCTTCGTTTCTTCGTTTTTCTTTCTCGTTGAAGCCGCAGTCGCAGTCGCAGTTGCTGCTTCTGCTTCTGCTTCTGCCGACGTCGCAGCCACTTCTACAGCCGCAAAAAAAAAACAAAAATCCCTTTTCGGGTGCAAAATTTATGTTTCCTTAGAGTCGTCCAGTAATTTCTCTGCACTGCTAGTAAAATTGGCAAAATCTTTAGCTGCACAAAAAAAAAAAAAAAAAAAAAAACAATATATTTATAACTTTATTTCAATTTAATTTGAATATTTCTCTATGGAAATGTTTAAAACAGTTATTTCACCAGCAAATGAATAACCATTTCATGTCGAACAAATTTCTTTCTCTGTGGGTGAATGTTGTTGGTTGGCTTTGAATCCTGTCATAAGTTGACCCACTTTGTGGCGCATTTCATTGCCATGCAAATGGGCTTGATCGCAAACCAGAAACGAATATCCCTACTTCAAGCGCAGCCTTCAAGCTTGTTTACCATTACCAAACCAGCAGACATTATTCCCATACCCAATCCCAGTTTCTTACTGTCGTTTTGGCATTTTCATTTCCATTATAATTAAGCGCTTACATAACCCAGGTTTGTTTACAAACTCGGTTGGGCAGGTTCGCGTTTCGAGTTCAATGTCCCAGCGTTGGGTCTGCAGATTGCAACAGTTCCTGCGCGACGCGTGTGGATCTCTCTCGAAGCGTATACGCAATATTGTTTGCTTCTGCTCTAGGGCTCGATTCCGATTTCGATTTCGATTTGTGCTCTACACACATATGTATGTACTTATGAGTAGTTAGTTTCATAAATATTTATTATGCCCAGCTCTCTGGCACGCGCAATTATCGAGAATGACGCATCGGATTTTCTGTTGGCCAAAAATCGATGCCAAAACATTGCTGAAGTACATAACAAGAAAATAGTTTAAATGCTGGCGTTGGCGAGCAAAATGTTGGAGTGGAATTGGAATTGGATTGGAGTGGAGGTCGCCCAATAGTGCCGTTAGATGATAAACCGCTACAAATTATTTTTTACCCACAGACATACATCAATTTCTTTAGTGTTATTTCTCCGATTGTTTTCTATTTTCGTTTCGTACGTTTATTATGCAACCCGTCAGCTTGTATCTTGTATCTTGTCGTTCGTCTCGAAGCTTGACGAAAGTCACAGATGCGAAGATGGGCAGCGTAAGATGATCAGATCAGCAGATGATCAGATCGGCCCAATGCCAAATCTTGAAATCTTGAAAGTGAAAACACGGTGGCCTCAGTGCCCGAAACCATCGCAGAAACTGGCCCATTAGACAGCGCTCACTCGGGGCTTTCTACTCTGAACTTGCGTGAATTTCTCACATTTTTCCGCCCTGTCTAGTTTGGCTTCCTAGTCCGACACGTAGCCGCCGTTATGCAATTGCTTATTAATTCTTTTATAATGCCTGCACTGTGGGTTAGTGCTTTTTCGGCCGCCGTTTAATTGGCCATCCGACGTGTTGGCAGAAGTGCTGCTGGAAGCCAGGAAACGCTTCAGATGAATGCCCGTGGCTGGGGGCAAAATGCCTTTATGCAACTCTTAGCAACCGAAACCAAACTGCCCAGGGGCTCTCAAAAACCAAAACCGAAAGCCCATGATCGATGGCAGATACATTTCTCCGCCAGAGCTGCAATTAATTCGAAATTACCTGTGGAAACGGCCCATGATAGAATCGCACCCGCCGCAGACATCATTGTTTGCCAAAAAGAAAAGAAATATAATTGAACCATTTGTATTTCGCACGAACAGAAGAAGACTGCCGCAAAAAAAAGGCAAAGAAGAGAAAGAAATGCTTAATTTTATTTTTACATCCACCATTCATCTGGTTTTTCGTACCGTCGTATCTTGCCTTTCTTTTGCACTAACCATCGGACTACCGCAACATTGGCGCCCTCTGTGCAGCCGTCTCTTTCACACCTGAGCATGCCGCCTCTTTCGCCCGCAGTGTTGCATATTTTGATTAGAACTTTCACTTTAGGTCCGCTTCAATTGGGGCTGCTTTTGTATCGCTTTTCTTTCGGCCGAGGAATTGAATAATAGGTGGCGAGGAAGAAGTGACCCAGAAAGTGAAGATGCCGAGATGTCCAATCAGTGCTGATGAGTAATAGTTTCCCGACACATGGTGGGCTGTCTTGGCCCCTCGATAGAAAGTTACCAAATCAAGTTCGCGCCGCTGCTAATGCACAACCACAAGTCATCTCACTTGGAGTGGATAATTGCATGTGAGGGCGCTGAAATGATCAAGAAACTTCGAATAACAAATAAAACACATTTTGGCTAGCGTGTGGGGAAGGTTAAGTTTTTATGTAAGATGCCACAATTTAATTTGATTTTTATTTTCTTGGCTGGCCAGGCGGACAAGACATCTTGAGGTTCGCCAACATCAACCCAATAGTTTTAATAAATGATTTGTTGTTTGAATATTTTTCGTGTTTTTTACTGTATATTTACAGCCGCTTTGAAGCTTTGTTTCAATATCTGCCCTGATGTATCGACAGCACGTAATGCCATGCGTATATACCCACATAAGACACATGTAGGTGTGTATGTTGGCTCTTACCGCTATTTACATTAACATTAGAGCTTTAGGTTTACGGCTTCGTTGCTCGTTTTTCTTTCTTTTTGCTGCTGCCGCTTCTGACAGCGCAAAGTGAAAGTTTTTCGACTGTAACTTGAGCCAACTCAAGCTAAGCCGACAACGAATCGTGCGAACGCACCGAAATCAGGTGGCTATATCTGTCCACGGCGATTGCTGGTTGCTGGCCAGCCTCGATAAGAATATTAATGCGAGGGACTGAAATCAAAAGTGATTTTCTCGGTGACACATTTACCGCTGGCTTCTCGCTTTCAGATTATGCCCCACTCATTAGCCAGGCGTTAAATCATAGCGTCAATTACTTGGAAAACGCAAGCATGCAAATGTTAAATGGTAAATGTTTGCTGTTGGCCTCGCCACACAGACTCGGCCAGAAATCGCTCAGCCGCCGTGTTGCACTTTCGAAAAGTAAGAGACTCGGTAGAAAATATGCAGCAGCACTCCAAGTGCATGACAAACAGCGTCATTGGCAGAGGCAAAGAGAAAAATCTTTTGTAAAAGTTCATAAACCTTCTCGCCAACAATGGCATTACTACCACAACCACTACTACTACTACTACAAATACGACTTTGGCTTCTGCCAGTGCTGGCTGCAGCTGGAAAAGCAAAACAGCTAAAGCAAAAACCGAACTGCATACATGAAAAGTTAAACAAAATTTCCCAAAGCAAGCAACGGCAGAGAAATGCACAAAGCAGGCGCATAAAAAATATTTTTCCTAAATTACTTCTGACGATGTCGAGGATAATGATAATTGCCACGATGATCGTAATGCCGATGATGATGATGTTGCTGATCATGGTTATATGTAGTGCGGAATTTCCACAGTTGGTTAGCGTACATTCAACTGCAAAATGGAAAAGCAGAAAGCACAAAGAGAAAAGCCCGCTGGCGAAAGATAGAAAATTCCCCGCAACAAGTTGCTTCGCTTGGTTCCACGACTCCGTCAGTTTCG